TGGTAACCACCAATTTGTTGTCTGCCTCTCTGGGTTTGTTTTTCTTTTGTTTGTTTGGGTTTTTGTTTGTTTTTTGGAATGAGTCTGTTTAGGGAAGAAAGTAGAAAGGCCAAAGAGGAGGGGTGTTCACTATCGTGCTTCCACCCCTTCACTTGGCAGAGAAGTGCTGCCTGATGGCCTTCTGATGGCAGCTGGAAGGGGTCACAGAGCCACAGCCACTCCCCACACTCATCTCTTTGTAGAACTGGCAGGCCAGTGAGATGAAGGGGGATAGGATGGGTTAACCGAAGCACCAGGAACATGGACCACTGCCACTCTCAGTGCTCCTCTTCCAGCAAAAAACAGTAATGCTAATTTACTGAGCCCTTACTGTGTGCCAAGCACCTAAGTGCCTTATGTGCATATAAGCTCATTTCATCCTACAATAGCCTTTGAGATGGATACTATCATTCTCATTTTATCCAAGATTCAATTACCTCATCTCTACAACAAGGGGTAATAATAATACCTATACCATAGGTTTGCTAGGAACTAAAATAGGTACAGCACCTGACACATAGTAAGTGTTAGTTAAGTATTAAGTATTAGTAGTAGTAATGAGAAATCTAGAACACAGAGAGTTTAAGTAACTTGTACAAGGTCACCCAGATATAATGTCAGAGCCAGGATTCAACCTGTGGCTCCACGGAGCTGATTCTTCATGGCCAAGAGCTGAACTTAGCTGTAAGCTGATGAGCCTCCAGCACTCCCCAGCCTCTCTGTCAGTGTTCCCAAGCCCCCATTTCTGCCTGGTCAGTGTCTCCCAGCCACCAGAACTAGGGTTCCTTTTCCCCCTATATCCTCTCTAAGTGTGTAAACAGCCATCCTCCCTAAAGCCCCTGTGCTTGTCAGAGTGTTGGGGTACAGGTCCCAGCCCCACTGGCCTGAAGACCCATGCATTTAGACCACAGCTTCACTTACCATCTTGATACTATACAGTAAGCTGATAATTGCTGCCACCACAGTGACCATGATCAACACAATGGCCCAGTCTGGAACAAAGCCCTTCTCCTGAGGTGTCGGGCCTGAGGGGTAAAGACACAGTGACTGAGGCAGGTGAGACCTCAACCCCCATTCCCCAACTTTCCACCTTTCCTTCTATGTTGCTCATGTTTCTGTGACTCTAAGACCACATTTCTTTGTGGAGTTCTCTCCTATTCTCTTGGGAGCAGAATCTCAATGGAGGGGCTTTTCAAGGGTTTGAACCTAAGTCTTTGGCAGATTTGATGGACTGATTCTATAAAGATGAAAAGTCTGAGAACAGCCAAAGCAATCTGAAAGAGAAACAGAAGTGGAGGACTCATACTACAGGCTCAGCAGACTTGCTGCAGAGCTGAGGTACAGAGCCCTGTGGCACAGGAGCCAGGGCAGACAAATGAGAGAGCAGAATCAAGTCCAGACCGCACATCATGGTCACTTGATTTTCAATAAAGGTACTCACACAATGCAATGGTGGAGAATGACCAACAGTCTTGGAAATAAATGGTTCTGGAGCAACTGATTAACCAGAAAGGGCAAAATTGGACTTGACGTCTATCTCACTCCACATGTTGAACCACTCTGCCTGGTTTCAGAAGCTGTAACCCCCCCATGGCTAAGGCTGAGTGGGCGACCTTTGGACCAGAAGCCACTAAGGAGAGACAAAGCTTATCTCCCTGGCAGAAGCTCTGCTTCTGTTCCTTTTACTTCACCCATAACTGGCCCCCAATGCTTGGTCAGTTAGCCAATGACGGGTAAGATTCCCCAAAGTGGGGGATGACCTAAGCCAGGCATGATCACATGGGAGGCCCCCAAGGAAGGACTTTGGGGGTGTATAGCAAAAGGGGGTGATGGACCCTCACCCCTCGGCTTTGACAAAGCCTGAGTCCTCATTCTGTCTGCAAGAAGTCTCCTAATCTCTTGGTTGTCTTACTACCCCTGCCTGACTTAAGCCTGAGACAATGACAGAGGGCAGTGCAGGCAATCAGGCCTAAGAAAGAATATTTAAAATCCTGTGAAACCTGCTTTGTTTAGAATGCTGTCAATTAAATAAGGGTCCAAGCAAGAAGTGAGTTTGTTCCTCAAAAGTTTTATAGCTCTTTAGCTATCAGACCCTGACTCAAAATAGACCCTCAGAGTTCTTTGTTATCTATTGTTTAATCCTTACTGCCTGACAATGATTAATGAGCTTTACCTGTATTCTTGTGCAAATGAACCCAATAAAAGGCCATTGAGGAAAAGGCTCTTGGCCCTTCTCCTTTGAGAGATTGGCCACCTTTCCTTCGCAAGCAGATCATGTCTTGGTAGACTTGTTCTCATCCATGGCAGATGGGGGCTCTGTGGGCGGAGCCTCCCCACATCCATACACAGAAATTAGTGTGAGATAGGTCATAGGCTTAAATTTAAAAACTAAAATAATAAAGCTTCTGGAATAACATGTTCGAGAATATTTTCATGACCTTGAAGTAAGAAAGAGAAGGTCTTAGGCAGGATACAAAAGGTACTAACCACAGAGAAAAAGCCAAGAAACCGAAAAGCAGGAAGGGGCCCTTGTGCAGCCACCAATGCCAGGGCTCTGCTTCATGAGGCTCTGGGGAGCTGCCGACTGCCGACTGATGCTGCCAACTAAGCACAGATGCCCCCACTCACAGCTTCAGGCCACACTAAAAAAACAAGTCCTTCAAGGATGGATTGAGCAACAGAAATATCACCTGGTGCCGCTGAGAATGGTCCTGAAGTGTTCCCAGAAATGGTCGGAGCTAAAGTCTGAGGATAACTGGGAAAATACTCAGAGGTTGAACAAATTGTTGAGAAACTCACAGATGTGGTGGGGATACTCTTTGAGATGGTGGGGACATTCCCAGAGAGAGAGGGGAGACCCACAAAGACAGAGGAAAGACCCCCAGAAACAGAAGGGAGACCCCCAGAGACAGTGTGAAGACCCCCAGAGAAAGTAGAGGGAAGACACCCAGAGATACAGGGGAGATAGACAGAGACAGTGGGGAGATCCCCGAAAGTAGAAGGGAAACCCCCAGAGACAGAGGGGAGACCTGTCGAGACACCCCCAGAGATAGAAGAGATTGTCACAGATAGTGGGGATGCACCCAGCTGTAGTGGTCCTTAATGGGGCAGCTGAGCTGTTGGAAAAGAACAAATGATCAGGTTAGAAGAGTCGACCACATCCCTGGGTCTTCACCCCACCACACAGCACCACTTTGAGTCCATGCTCACTGTGTGTGGCAAAGGCCTTCAGACCCACAAGCAGCACTAGCACGGCATCTACGGTGCCTGCCTAGGTGTCTTTCCAGACCCATTGTCAGGGCTTTTTAAAAGGCTCAGAGGCCCATTACATGCCTCTGGAGAGCTAGGTGTGCCAGGACCTCCATCAACACCAGGATCCCCATATACAGAGAGGTCAGCAAGCTGTCCCCAGAGGATTAACCTGTCCCGGCCTGATCCTAGGAAGCATGGGTGAGGGGGGCAGTAAGAGCCTGAAGATGCCCTACCTGGCCCTCTTCCCAGCTTCTTACCTGGTTCTTCCCAGACTAGGACCTGCCCCCCAGGCCTGAGTCAGTTCCCCACCCATACCCTCCTGAAAGGGAGAGGACCAGGTGTCCTATTCCCAGGTCCTCCTATTGATGCTAGGAGTACAACTGTTGAGGATGAGGACATATGGGTCTCTAGAAGAAGTAGGAATTGGGTGCTTGGTAGGGCTGGAAGACACCATGGCTTGGGGAAGGGAAACCCAGGACAGGGTAGGACCTGAACCACCCTCATCCAGATGGCTCCAGCCCCAACATTTTCCATTCCTTTGGTGAACAAGAGGAGCAGCAGGGAAGACCACATTGTGTTCAGGGACAGTGTATTGCAGAAGTTCAGAGCCCCCTCTGGAGCCTGTCTGCCCTGAACCCACCACTTCCCAACTGTGTAGCAACTCAGATGTGTCTTCACTCCTACAACAAGGTGATCTAGCCCCTAGTGTAAAGGGGTGTGATGAGCATTAAAGGAGATGTTTCTAACATGCCTAGCACACAGTGTCAGCTATGATTACCTAGAAAGGGAAAGACACAGGGGTGCTCCCCTCTCCTCTTAGGAAGACTCAAATAAGAAAAACAAAAAACAAATTTAAAAATACAAATTAAAAAAAAGAAGACTCAGATGCATCTTTCCACCTTGTGCCCACTGCTCCTACCTGCTGGGCCTGCTAATCTTTCTGTCCATCTACTCCTCTCTGCAAGTCTGGGAGTCCCATTGATGGTGGAGACAACATCTCCCTCCATCTCTGCCTCCATTCTTCTGTGCTTGGGCCCTCTGGTTTTCAGAGGGAGAGGGGAGATGTTACACACAGAAGCAGATGGGAAGATGTTACTTTGTGTGTTCCAGGGGCTGATGTGACTGGTTTGTCGATCTTGTCTGTGTGTCTGGTGTGTCTGGCATTATAAGGGATGAGTTCTAATCTCTCTGCTACTGACTGTGTGACCCTAGTCATTTACCCTCTCTGGGACATATTTCCTAGTGTTTAAAGAAAGATGAGCCCCAAACTTTCCTCTACACATCTGTCCTGTGTTTGCCATTCTGAGGGCCTGTGACTAAATGGATGAGTAGATGAGAGAATCCCCTTTTGCCTGAACACAAAAAGTAAAAAAAGAAGAGGATTTGTTAAAACCCATGTCACCACCTGCGTGTGTGGGATGTTGTGGAGCAACTAAAAACATTCAAAGATGAACGTTTCACATTACCCAGATTTTTCTCCTAGAAAGACACTGTGACTGGGGGAGCATGACACCTAGGTTTAGGAAGAAACTTGACTTAATCCACCCCTCCCTTTTGGGCCCACATTCCTGAGCCATTCGCTGGCCTGAAAGACGGAAATTAATTGTAGTTAATAATTAATCCCTAAAGAGCAATGAGAGGCCCTGGCCTGGGTGGGGTCTGGACATCTGCAGGAGGGACACCTCCACCACTTCCCTCTCTGCAGGTCCAAGCACCCATGGGGGATGAATGAAGAGGGACCACCCACTGTTTTCTCTAGCCGCCCAGTGAATGGCCCTCTCCTGGTTCCTCAAAGTCATGTTGGGAGAACTGGAAAGTCCAGTTACCCAGCTTCCCCCTCCCATTTCCCCTCAAATGCCTGCACTAAGGATTGGCTGTAGAAAGGTAGGCTGGGTAAGGAGAGACCAGGGGGTGCTTCAGACATCTCTTCTGTCCATCAAGAAGTGAGGTGGCCACAATGGGGACCGGACTGACCCTCTTCCTCCTCCTGACCTTCCTTGGCAGCTCACATGGAACAGGTGAGGGCTAGAGAGCTGGACACAAGGGTCCTCATGGCAAGAAGAGGCCAAGAAGGGGAGAGAGAGAGACAGAGGCACCCGAGTCCTGAGCTCCCCAGAATTCAGGAGTGAACTCTGTCCTGAGAGGGTGTGAATGGGCTTTTGGGAAGAGGGAATCAGGTGGGGGTGAGGCAGGAGGGGTGCCCCCGTCCCCAGCCCTGGTAGCTGGGTCCTAAGTTGTACCTCTGGATCCTTAGGGCCAGGAATGACTCTGCAACTGAAGCTGAAGTATTCCTATCTTGCGAATTCACCCTATGATTCCAGCTCCCTGGAATTGCTCAAGAAGGTATGTTCTGGGGAGGGGAAAGGATGGGGTTGTGTGAACTCAAGTTGTGTTTCTGAGTTGGTTTGGGTCTCTCTGCTGGCACCTGACCATTCTAGGTGTGAGAGCCATTTTACACCTCGCTCTCTAACCCTTTCTCTCCCCCAGCTCTGCCTCCTGCTCCACCTCCCATCACGGACCAATGTCACCCTCAGTCAGGCTGGATCCGCACAGCACATTATTTGCAAAGTCTGAGAGCAATCAGAGCCTGTGCCCCTCTTGGATGGGGTGTTTGCCCCCCCTTCCCCACCTGGTGCAGGGGGAATACCCTGGCCCTATCTTCCAGCAGGCCCTCACCTGCTGAGTGGCAGGAAATAAGCTGAATTAAATGACTTTGTGGATTCGTGAGCCAGCTGTAAAAAAAGTATTGGACACCCAAGACTCTGTCTGATTCTCCTTTGAAAAGCAGAGGGGTTCTGGGATGGACTCGCTCTCCCTCAATGCCAGTTTCAAAGGCCTAGAGAGAATCTAGGGAATTAACTGGAGACACACACACACACACACCCCAAATGCACATACACAGGGACATGAACACACACTTCATTTTGAGATCTTCAAAATACCTGGGAATAAGGGAAAGACCCACGTATTGAGCTCATACTTTGCTCCAGGTGTGATGCTTCCCCAGGTCAATGATTGCAGCAATATTAAATATAGCATAATAGGTATTATTATCTGATTTTCTAGATCAGGAAGTTGAGGCTTAGAGAGGATAGGCCACTCATCTGACATCCATTTGCAGTGCAGAGGTCAGACACCAGACAAATGCCTTGGCTTAAGCCAGATTTTTGTGTCCTCTCCCATTGCTTAAGCCTTGGGGTCAGGGGCTCAGAATCCAGACAGACATGGGGACAGACACCCACAGGACATGGGCCCTCTGAACCAGGGATCCATACAGGCTAATCAGGGTAGAAGGAGGGGTGAGAGGCAGCTCAGGTGAGACATGAAGGGTTTAGCTGATGAGAGGGTGGCCAGCTGATATAGGTGGGGGGAATGGGTGCTAGCAGAGGTTGTGCTGGCTAAACATAAGGACGTGTAGCCACAGAGGCCCGTACTTGAATCCTAGCTGAGTTTCTCATCTGTGTGGAGCCTGCACTTCTTCACCTGCAAAATGGGTATAATGACAATACCTGCTTCATAGGATTGTCATGAGGATTACACAGATAAGCTACCTAGAGCACATGCCGCTGTGCCTGTCAGATAAAGGGACATAAGTGGTAAGGATTGTTGTTAGAATAGAAAACCAGTTCCAATGTGTAAGTCCCATCAAGGTCCAGTGTTCTCCTCCTGATTTTTTTGAGGCAGGCACTCATTTGACGCCCCCACTCAAGATTATCTTGAGTCCTTACCAGCTGTCTCAAATTGCAAGCATGATGCCAAGACTTGACCATTTGGGGTATTCATATGATTGCTTCCTGCTCTCCACAGCACCTGTCCCTGCCAACCATACATCCACTCAATCACCAGCACCACAGCATGAAATCAGAGCCTTATTGCTCTGGGGGAGATAAAGGCAACAGCTCTGTGTGGAGCATCCCTGAAGATGAGGGGGGCACAGGAAGTGGAAAAATAAAAACAAAAATCACAAAATTTCCCTAGTTTCCTTTGTAATCGTCCTGAATTAGCCCAGAGGAGAGCTAGCTGAGGGCCCAGGATTTCATGACTTGCCCCAAGCCTGCACCAGTGGGCAGGTGACACCCACAGGTCAAGTGTGTAGGCCCCAAACAAGTTGGGGGACTAGATGTCTGGATCCCCAAAAGACTAGAGGAGCAGACAGCTAACTGCTCCTGAACCTGGTTCCTAAGTCTCAGAACTTGAAATTACTGGGCTGAGATTTCCAGATTGTTTTCTCAAAGAATTTTCTTCCCAAACACAAAATAGGGCAGTGCAGCGAAAAGAATGTTGGGGATTCATTAGACCTGGGTGTGGCAGAAACTGTTAAGTGTCCCCTTATAACTCTTCTTTTGACGGTCATGTGAATTTTAGCTGAGCACCTGGCTCATTCTATTTCCCAGCCTCCCTTGAAGCTAGGAAGGGCCGTGGTTAAGCTCTAAGGGGATAGAAGTAGAAAGTATGCAACTTCCTGGTAACATCCTTGAAAGGAAAGGAACTGCCACTTCAGAAGGAAGAAAACAAAGTCCTTACAACCGCCAAGGTCCCACACCAGCATTTTCCAATGGAACTTTCCCTAATGATGGAAATGATTTAGAACCTGCACTGAGCAATATGGTAGTCAACGGCTACATGTGACTATCAAACACTTGAAATAAGGGACTGAATATTGAGCTTTATTTAATTTTAATTACTTTAGATAGCCAAATGGCTACCATTTTGGACAGCACCACCCAAGATAATCCTCCTTGAGCCTTCCTATCCCCACCCCATCATTCACGCCCTTTGCTCATCCCCCAATTGCTATTCTTTGAGCACTCTGGGCATGCTCCCACACCCTGGCTTTGCTTTGGCTCTTCCCTCCACCTGGAACACGGCTCCCAGGCATCCACTCAGCTAATTCCTGCACCTCCTGCAAGGCTTTGCTTAAATCTCACCTCTGCAGTGAATTCTACCCTTCCCCCGTTAATACTACAACCTGCTCCCTGACACACACCCAAGTCCCCTTACCTTGTTCTACACTTCTTTCCTCATGGCATTCATGACCTTCAGACACACTCTATATTTTACATCTTTGCATGCTGTGTCTGACTTCCCCTGCTAGAACCAAAGTACTACCAGGGCAGAGATCTTTGTTTCTTTCACTCATTGATAAATCCAAGGGTGGGTGCACGACAGGGCCCAGTACATAGCAGGTGCTCCAGAAATACTGAACTTGGGGAAGAGAAATAGGAAGTTACCCATTCCCTCCTTTTCCTCTTCCTTCTGGGTGGGAATGTGAATGTGCTGTTTGGGACTGGAGCAGATCTTAGGTCTAGAGTTAGAAAAAGTATATCAAGAATGGCAGCAAAATGTTAAATTTTAAAATGTTAATTCTGTTAAATTTTGGGGGTGACTCTTCTGCCCAGAGAAGAGGTGACACTTATCTCATCTAAGCTGCCGTGATACCTGAAGTGTGGTTACAGCAACCAGAAAGAATCTACACCTAATTTATTGGGTTGAATCCCAGTTGATACTTTATACAAGCTAATTTTATTCTCGGAGCACATTTCTTCTTATCTGAAATGGAGAGAACACCCCCACCTCTAAGGTTCTCAGGATTAAATAGCACCAGGGAGGCCCCAGCCATGAGGGGCCGGCCATAAACAGCAGACACTCTGAGTTACTGGACAGAATGGAACCTGGGCATGAGAGTATCAACCCCCGAATTCCAGATGAGACAAGATGTTTGGGGTGGGGAGGTCGGCATCTGCCCATCTTATGTACCTCTGTCAGGGGCTAGGATGTCCCTGGCACTCTAGTCTCAGGTACAGAGAGGGAGGGGCACTCTCTGCAGCCCCTCAGCACCCCTGGGGATTGAGCCAAGGAGCAAGGAAGTAGAGAAGTGCCAGCAAAAGCTGGGGCACTTTTGATAAGTCTGGGAAGCAGGTGGAACCCAAGTCACTGTGCGAGGCCTATGAGAATTCTCCTTTCCTCCAACGAGGTAGGCACTGCCCAGCATCCACACCCCCACTGTGGCCCAAACCGAGCCTGAAGAAGAGGCAGCCCTCCTCCCTTCCCAGACCAGACTCTCAGGGAACAACTGAAAGGCAAGAAAATCGCCATTGAGGGAAAGAGAGATAAAAGAACCACAGGCACATGCGTTTAAGATTTTAAAAGTGTATCCGAATCTCCTCATGCCTAAGCTTCCAGGTGGGGCTGCACAGGAGGGAAGCAGGGGCAGGAATGTGAGCATCTCAGTCACCCACAGTCACTCTGACCAAGCTGGTTTGTTACCATAAATGAGGGAGGTGGACCATGTGGTCTCTGAGGCAGCATCCCACCAGCTGCTGCAGGATCAGTTTGTTCTCAAAGGCAGGCCTGGCAGGGTAGAGAACCGCCAGGGACAGTGAGTGAGGGCTCAGGGTTCCCTGGGGCTAGGAGATGCGCCCATCAGCTGCCGGAGGTGAGAAGCCGCCTTGTCCAGTTTTGACAATTCCAGCTGGATGGAAGAAAGCTGGGCAGGGTGAGAAGCAGGTAAGGATCCAGGTATGAGGCCCACCTTCCTCCTACCACATTCCCTCGGGGAGGTGAGCTCCCTGGGTGGCCTCCCAGCCTTACCCTCTGCTGCCTTTGAGTCTCTGCCTCTTTCTCTGATGGGGTCCGGGCTATGAGGCCATCAAACTGCTTCTGTAACTTGTGTCTTCTGGCAGCCAGCAGAGGTAGATGGACCTCGGGGTCCACCAGGCCCTGTGGGAGAAGAGGGACATCCATGGCTCACCCAGTATTTCCTTCCTCCCTCTGCACTTTTATAAAACTCACCCTTGCCCTCTTCCCAACATCCTTTTTGACCCCTCCCCCACTCCAATCTCCTCTGAGCACCTGTAGCTCCATGTAGACCTGAACAGTGTTACCGACAGAGGCCTGGGCCCAGCCAGAGGGAGCGGCTGTGTCAGCAGGTAAGAGGCCCACAGCCCCACAGCGGCCCAGGGTGCCCAGTGGCTCCAGGAAGGTCTCAAAAGCGCCCTGCTCTCCAGGCTCTGAGCTCTGCAGCAGCACTGGAAGGAAAGGGAATCTGTCAAGGCCCATGACCCTGCCTCCCTTCCCGTCCTGCACCTCCTACCCTGGGCCCCGCCCCCAGGCTTCCCCCTCTGCCCTGCCAGCCCCTTCTTTCTGCAGGGATGTGCCTCACCTCGAGGCCGGGCCTTGGTGAGCTGGTACATGGCTTGAAGAGCCCTTAGTGCCTGCACAGCCTCCTGGACCCGGGAGAAGCGCCGCTCCAGCTCAGGCTGGTGCCAGTGTTCCTACAGATGGGGACCCAGAGTTGACCAGCAGGCCCCTGGGACTCCTGTACCAACTCTGCTGTCTCCATCCGCCCACCCCACTCCTCTGCACCACCTCAAGGATGGAACACAGCAACAAGCTGGGGAATCATCTAAGAAGATCTTAGATGATCAGTGGTTGACATCTGTTGAGTCACTCTGATTGAAGATAGCAAACAACCAAAAATAAAATTTAAAACATATTATTCAAAACTCACAAAGCCACATAACTCACAAAACTACATAATTAAACAAGAAACTTAGTTAAGCTTTGAAATGATGTTTTGGGGTTAAGTTTCCTGCATTTATCCTTCTCATATTATTAAAGCTTAAAGCTGTACCGAGACTTTTGGGTTATCCTATCACTAACATCTAATCCTCATCACAACCATGACATTGACCATTGCTATCCCCAGTCTAAAGATGGAGGAAACCGAGGCACAGTAACACAGCTAGCAAGGATCAGTCTAGTGACAGTGATGCTCTTGTCCACTGTGTGACACCGCTCCTCAAGACAGCGCTACAGAACGATCCATCTCCCCAAAGACTCCAGAGCACAAACCACTGCTGTCAGTGACCCCATGGCAGCAACTGTTTTTAGAACACTACTCTCCAACCCCTCCCCCGCACTAGTCCCACTCCAGGAATGTGTGTGACTCACCAAGCTGCTGGCACTGGGGTAGGGGGCCACAGAGATGCTGGGGGCGGGGAGGCAGCCTGGCCTGGGGGGTAGCCTCTGCCAGAGCTCCTCAGCCAGGAAGGGCATGAGTGGGGCGAGCAGGCGCAGCCCAATGTCAGCACAGGAGAACAGCACCTGAGGAGGCCCAGCGGGGCAGGGGCAGTGTGACAGCCCAGGCTTCACAGCCTCCTAGGGAAGAATCCTGCAGGTCAGGAGAAAGGGCTGGGCCACAGTCACAGCCGTGCCCCCTCCACACACTGGCAGTTGGGACGCTGTGGGTAAGAAGCATGCCGCAGCTCGAACACCATTGGCTGTCCCACAGAAAGGGAATCTCAGGCAGGGATTCTTAGAGATGGATGGGGAATCAAATTGTTGGGAAGGTCAGGTAATTTAGACAAAAACGTATTGAGGTTTTGCTTATAAAAGAAACAGAGGATTTTTTTAAAAGGCTGAGAAACAGTGATCGCGGGCAGCAGTCCTGAGCTAGCAACATCACCTGGGTCAAGCAGTGACAATTTTTGCCTCACCATCCCGTCTGGTGAGTCAGCATTCAGAAGAGGTGGGGGCCCAGGTTAACCAGCTGTCCCTCCCAATGATTCTCAGACAGGATTAAGTGTGAGAACCCGGAGTCTAAAGACCACTCTACTTCCTCCTTGTCCATTTATAGCTCCCAGCCTGCCCAGGGTCCAAACTCAGCAATCAAAGGCTGCAGAAGAAGCTCTATCTGCTTCCTGACTCTGCTTTGTCAGACTCAGTTTTCCAGAAGTGTCCCCACATCCCCCTCTCTCCCCAGGTGACAGGCAGGGAACAGTGGCTAGGCTAGTTGCAGGAAAGAGGGGAACTGGAATTCCCTGGCTCATCCATCTTCCTGCCCCAACTGAGGGGACAATCGGGAACCTTGCTGAGAGCTCTCTGCCAGGGAACCCAATCCCCAGGGGATAAGGAGCAGGTCTGCAGGAATGCAATGCATACCAGCCCCAGCCCCACTCACCAAGTAGACGTCACAGAGGCTGTGGAGCCAGAAGTGGTGCAGGGCATGGGTGGCAAGTGGGAGCTCTCGGGTGAGGAAGCCTCGCTCACACTCTCGGGTAGTGTGGGCCAGACGGCTCAGGATCCAGGAGTCCATTGGGGTGGAGGGGGACAACTGCAGGCAGAACAGGGGTACAAGATAGGGACAGCTCAACTTCCACTCTTTGCCTTTCCTTCTAGATGCCATCTTCCACCTCAAACATCAGACAGCCCTGCATCCAAGCACCTCTTCTTTCTCTCTTACCTCCTCTGCAGGCTGGGGTGTGAATTTCTCTCCTAGGACATTGAGGATAAAGCGCAGGGCATTCCAGATCTTGTTGCAGAAATGTCGGGAGCTCAGGACCTCAGAGACAGACAGGTGTAAGTCACCTGCTGGGAGGGAGAAAAAGCACAGAGTATGCAGGTGGACTGCAGTGACACAGGGCAACCTCAGCCCTGCCAGCCCCTCTTTACACCCCAATACCTCCTGGCCCAGCTTACCCAGGGCCCCGTGGGAGCACAGAGCAAACCGCAGGGCATCTGTCCCACACTCAGGGATCCCATGAGGGAAGTCCTTTCTCTGAAACCAGAGGGAGAACAGGTGGCAGATTTCTATGAAGCCACAGGGCCAGAAGCCTGGGTCACAGAGGAAACGGGTTACTCTGAGTTAAGAGGCCAGATGGGGCAGACCCTGGGGACACACCTGCGCTGCAGTTGCGATTGCCAGCTCTGCAGGGTCCAAGTTCCCATCTCTCAGCTTCTCCTGCAGCACCTAGGACAGGTGAATATTCACTGGCCTCAGTCCAAGACCGACTCCTCCAAGGTTCCCACCCACTGTCCCCCCAGCTGACTTCTCTCTGTAGGCTCCCCTTCTCTCCCCTACAAACCCCAGTCTTGTCCAGCTCTCATCCTCACCTGCAGCTCCACCCCTCTGATGATGTCCCGTGGATCCAGCACATTCCCCAGGGACTTGCTCATCTTCCGGCCCTGCCTGTCCCGGACCATGGAGTGAAGAAGCACCTGAGGGTATGGAGGGGTCATACCCTCAGAGGGCAGCTTGAAGAGCCTTTCCCCAGAGGGTCCCTTGGGATCTCTGGCCTCCGTGCTTTAAGGGTTAATGCGGGAAGTGAATCACGGAACAGGAATCAAGAACATGGAAAACACCACAGTAGGGGTTAGAAAAATGGACATGGATAGGGAACACTGCAGAGTTAGAGGGAGGGACAGGGCACTAAAGGGTTGTTACCTTGTTGAAGGGGAGCTGCCCTGTGAGCTGGGTGCCCAGCATGACCATGCGGCCCACCCAGAACAGCAGGAGGTCACTGCCCGTTTCCAAAAGTGACAGGGGGTAGAACCGACTGAGGTCTGGGGTCTAAGAGGAAAAAGATAAGCAGAAAGAAGCCCTGGGTGCCATCTCCTCAAGACTTTGAGAGGGCTCAAGTGTGTCCTTCACAGTCCCCACCTCCAGTCTCTTCCTCTCAAACCAGTGCCTCACCTGATGGGGCCAGCCCAGGGAAGAAAAGGGGAAAAGAGCTGAAGAGAACCATGTGTCCAGGACATCAGGGTCTGCAAAACAGGGAATGGAAACAAGTGGCACCTCAGCTTCTAGGGCCTCAGCTTGCTGCTGCCCACCCTTCCATCCCAACCCTCACTGCCAACTTTCCTAATACCACCTCCCCAAGACCCAGGCCCTCACCACGCTGCAGGGTCAGCTCCGCCCCTGGTCTCCCAGTCAGTTCTGCAGCCAATTCTCTGGCCTCAGCCTCTGTCCGGCCCACTACCCAGCAGTCCTCCCTATGGCCCTGCAGAACAAGGGAAGTGAGAGGAGGAACATCTGGCCCGTGGGAAACATCAGTCTCCCAGTCTCTTCGGGGGCCCTCTGGCGGTGAGATAAGGAAGCCACCCTGACAGGCTAAAGCACCTGAAAGGCAGGAAGCTGGGCTAGCGATGAGGCCTAGGACTGCCTGCTAAGGCCCTCTCTCCATCCCGCCCCACTGCCCAGCCCCATCCCTCCCGCACTTCCTCCTACCAACCTTCCCAGGCTCCTCCACAACCAGGTAGGCTGGAATCTGATGGCCCCACCACAGCTGCCGTGAGATGCACCAGTCCCTGCCACAGAGCAGAGCAGCTCCTCAGTGTCGGCAGCGGTCCCCTCCCAGGTCCACAAGTGCCCCTCTTACCCGATGTGGGAGAACCAGAGCCGCCAGTTCTTCTGGTGAAAAGATGGGCTCAGCTCCAGGGCCCCAGACTCCACAGCCTGCAGGGAGAAGGCCTTCAGATAGTGCTACCTGTCTTGCACCCACAGCGTCCCTCTGATGTGGTTCTTGAGCTCAGAAAGGACCTCCCAAACCTCCTGAGGACACACACCAGCCCACTCTGGGCCACCTTGCCTCTTTGCTCAGCTGTCCTGTTTCTCTACCCCTTCCCCAGGGTCAGTCCTTGCTTGCAGTGCAGCCTTACCTGGGCAGCCCGTTCCCCCATCTCCCGGCAGCGCACAAACCACTGGCTCTTCAGCAGGTATTCTACCACGTCCCCGGAGCGGCTGAAAGGGAGAGAGCTGAGTCCACTGCTCCCCCTGCCCTGTGCCTCTGCTCCAGGGACCCAGGACCCTACTAGGTGCCAGGTCCTCAGTACTGAGAACACAGCAGCCAATGAAGCTGACAGAGCCCGTATTCTAGCATGAGGATTCAGAGCCCATCCCATGTCCCTCCTAGGGGGATTGGAAGTGGAGTTAAAACGGGTCACCTGCAAATGGGCAGCACCATGGGATGGTCCTGGAGGCCCCGGAACAGGCCCCTCTCCCTCAGTATGGACACTATCTTTTCCCGGGCTACAAATCGATGAAGACCCTGGGAAAGCAGCAATGGTAAAGGTTAAAGGGCTCTAGAGAAATGAGAGTGGGAAACAGGAGGTGGGGCAAAGATGCCCCTAAAGGATGGGGAAACAGTGAGTCCGGTACCACCTGCAGCCAGTCCCCACAGACGGAGGTCATGGTCCCATCCTCTGCAATGACACTCAGAGGACTCAAGCCATGTCGGCTCCCCAGCTCAGCATCAGCAGGACTGTGAGCTGGAGTCACCTTCACTGCCCCTGGGGGAGCAGAGACACCATAAGCACTGAGCCCTGACCCCGGCTTTTGCTTTTCCAGAGGGATCATCGTCGCCTCTGCCCCTGTCCCTCCACTCTTCTCTCCACCTCCCTTTCGTTCTCCCCACCCACTCAGACTACTCCCTACGAGCTTTCCTTTCCTCCTTTCTTCCTCCTCCTGGTCCCCAGCCCTCGGCACCCCAGCTTTCTTTCCTTCCCCTGACCTCCACTCACCTGTGCCCATGTGTGGCTGGACAGCAGGGTCTGTGATGAGGGGGAGGAGCTGCCCTGTCAAGGGGTGACGAAGTTGTCGCCCATGTAGATGCTGAAGGGAGAGGGGTCAAAGACAGGCATGTGCGAGCAGAAAGATCTTGGCAGGGCAGGAGAGCCCCGAGAGTAAGATGAGAACCCAGGTAAAGAGTCAGCATGGTAGTCAGCCAACTTTTTCTTAAGGGGATGGAGTGTGAATAATTTAGGCTTTGCAGGCCAAAAGGCAAATGCAGCCTCTGCCCAATTACTCCACCTGCCACTATGGCACAGGTGATAACACAGCCCAGATGAGCACAGCCAGTGAGTGTGGTGTGCCCAAACATAGGTGGCGTGGATGTGCCCCTGGGCATACCTGTCAACCCCCGAGCTAGAGGAAAAGTGCAGCATCAAGAAGAGAAGGGAGCAGACTCAGAGCCACTGGAGAACTGAGCTAAGAAGACTTAGGAAAAGGAAGTGGAAGTATGAGAGAAGGAGCTGCCACCCAGAAAGGAAGGGAAGAGAAAGCTGTGGGAAGGAGTGCCAGGGGCAGAGGGCACTGGACATTACTGTATATCGGGTGTCGTCGGGATGAACGGCCACTGCCACATCTCCAGGCAACGTCTCTGGCCTCGTGGTCCCTATCACGACCTCTGCGTCTGAAGACAAAATTCAAGCATGTCTAGCCAGCAGTCATTCTCACTCCCCACTGCAGACACAGCTAAAGCCAGGAGAACAGGAAAAGGGAGGGGCAGGAGCAGTTGAGGTTGGGCAGACCCCCAGAAGTAAGGACAGAAACTTAGGACCAGTGTTTACAGGAGCCTGGGTCAGTGGCTGATGCCAAGGAATTCCTTGACAGCTTGCACAGGAGAAATGGGTATGGCATTAACAAATGCAACCAGAATCTTTGATGGTATCCAAGAGACACTTAAATACTTGGTGTCCTAATCACAAATGCTATGCATTCTTTGGGTCTGGCACCAGTCCCTCCTACAAGAAACAGACTCTGACATTCCAACTCACCTATCTTCCCCTTCTCTGAACTCTTCAGAACACTTACTGTGCAAACCACACTTCAGAACTAATCTTTCATCTCTTTTGGAGGTAGCAGCCTCCTGAAGAATTATACTAAGCTCCAAAGGGCAGTGACCATGTGCACTTTTCTTACATGGCACAAAACAGCCAGGGGAAGTGCCCACAAAAATGCAAACACTACCAAGGTTCCTTATGCCCCTCCCACCAGGTCATGTGTGAAACAGGCTGGTGGGTTCCCTCCCATCAGCCCAACACAGGTTTGAGAAAGCAGGGGAAGCAGAGATGAGCGGGCAACCTTTCCAAGGGCTGCACTCACCAGGCTCTCCATCCACAGGGAAGGCCACAGAGATAAGGAGGCCAAAAGACACAGAGGTGGGGCAGCCAGGCAGTCTAAGTTCTGTGTGGCCAGGCAGGGACCGGCTCTCCACCTGGAGACATGGAAGAAGCAGGGTCTGAGAGCAGCCCTTCTTCAAGGCTCACAGCCAGTCTTCCCACATCCACTCCTCGGCCTGCCCGGCCTCACTCTGCTCTCACCTAATTCTTGCGTAGCACAGTTACAGTAAATATTCACCAGATACTTAAACCACACACAGGTACGGTGCTGAGCACCTTCCACGAGTTCATTTCATTCTCCCAGCACCCCCAAGATGCAGGCATTCCCATCAGCCCTAAATTACAGATTAGGAAAACTGAGGCTCACAGGAGCCAGAAGTCAGGCAGCTGGCAGGTGGCAGAGTCTGGGTGTGAGTCCAGGCAGTCTGGCTCCAGACTCTGGGCTTTCACCCGCCTCAGCACTCTCACGAACCTGCTTCTCTTTTTCTGCCTTACCTCGATGTCAGAGATGGCTGATCTTAAAGCGCATGACCAGTTGACAAGCTGCTGGCTGCGGTACAACAACCCTGCCTTGTGAAGTCGCACAAAAGCTTCAGTCACAGCCACTGAGGAGCCCTAGAATGACCTGAGTGTCCACATCCAACAGCCCCTTCTCAGCCTGTCACCCCATTCAGGGACCATCACCCCCACCCTGCTTTTCTCTGCACACACCACAACCCAACTCCCTGCACATGTCTACACACCTCCCTGACACCCTCAGGGACCAGGCTGGGCACACTCACAGCGTCCATAGTGAAACATTCTCGGTCCCAGTCCAGGGAGGCCCCCAGAGCTCGGAGCTGCTCACAGATCTCTCCACCCTTCCTGTATCCAGAAGGATTTGTCAGCAAACATGTCCCAAGCACCAATAACGCACCAGGCCCAATGACACCCAGCAGTGCCGGAGGCTGGGGCGAGCACAGCATTGATCTAGCCTCTAGAAGCTAATGGGGACAGACTCCCAAACCAGTGTGAAGCCTCCTATAAAATTTCTAAAAGTATCAAGTTCTACAGTAACAGAAGAAGGGGCAGCCAATTTGTGGGAAATCTAAAGAACCTTTACGAGAAGATGGCATGTGATAACGGACCCAGAAAAATGAGGGCGATGTCAAGCAGATGGAAGGTGGGGGGTGGATGAGTAGGAGAAATGAAATCTAGGCAAGAGAAAGTGGGGTAAGTGGGAAGGGGAGAAGCGTATGTGTGCACATACATATGCACATATATACTTCAATATACATTTCTTATTGTATCATCCTGAAACACACAGACACAGACACAGACTCACACAGAGAGAGATATACACAGAAACACACACATGCACACACACACACACACACAGCTTGGAGACCCCACCAAACTCCAGCAGTGGTGTCCAACCTGCAGCCCGTGGGCTGCATGCAGCCCAGGATGACTATGAATGCAGCCCAACACAAAACCATACATTTACTTCAAATCTTTTTTTTTTTTGGCTCATCAGTTTTCATCCGTGTTTATGTATTTAATATGTGGCCCAAGACAACTCTCCTTCTCCCAGTGTGGCCCAGAGATGCCAACAGGCTGGACATCCCTAGAGTTCAAATCTCTGAAGTTAGGGAAGTGATGGAAAATGGGAAAAGCAACCATGAGCAGGGAGGGGGCAAGAAAGCGAGGCCCCAAACCATGACTCGCACCTCCCTGTGCCTGTCATACTCACTCCTCCTTCCACTTCCAAACCTCCTGGAGGAAGTCTTCCCGGCTCAGATCGTGTCTTCTCACCCCTCGCTCCTTCCACAGCTGCTTCTCCACCACAGCCTACCAGATTAGGGGACAAAGAAACAGTGAATCAGGTCACTTTTCCGGGGAGAGAGTTCTTTCATCCAAGAAAAGTAAACAGTGGCAAATGACATACTTGGGTAGCGATTCCTGCATGATCTGAGCCAGGGACCCACAGCACCTGATCCCCACGCATCCGGTGCCTGCAATAGAAACACCGGCACCTGAAGCCCTGAGCTTATGTTTATCCTCACTCCTTGCCCCTTTCCCTTCCCTCCAAGAGCTCAACCAGCCCCTTTCCCCTCACCAGCGCACAAGAGCATCCTGGATGGCCACCGTCAGTGCGTGCCCGATGTGTAGGGAGCCGGTGACATTGGGAGGTGGGATACACATGGAAAAGGTCTCCCCTGTAGCCTGGGGCAGCCTGGTCTAGAAGAAAGCAACAAAGTCAAGGGCAAGAGAAGACGGGATCTTAACTGGTGAATAGCTCCCTCCGGTATCTCCAAGGCATAAAGAGCGGAAAAGAAAGGTCCTGCAAATAACAGGGAAAGGAAAAACCCACCAACAGAATGCTTTGGAGACACCAGGGGCAGTTGACAAGTTCTCTAATGTGGCTAGCTGTGAGCTCCAGACTCTGAGGCTCAGTTGTACCCACCAACCTCATGGGTCATTTATCCTGAGGACTGTTTAGTACCTCTCCCTGCAAGGTACAAACCTGATATTCCGGCTTGAAGAAACCCTCTCGAACCCACCAAGGGTACCAGGCCGCTTCGACATATCGGGGGCTGTATGCAGGAGGTAGGGGCTGGGAGACATCTGTGGAGGCAGAGGAGAGCTCTACAAACTCCTGAACTTCACTCCCAGGGTGCATTTCAGCAAACCAAATGGGCAACAAGAATGTGAAAGAGAAGGCCTTCAAGTTTCCTAGTTACCTTTCTTTTCACCAAGTTCTGTGGGGATTTCATATAACACTATTTCTTTAGGAGTCCAGGCCTTACTGGATTCTGCAGGTGACTGGGGGGAGGGACCAGAAAGGGAAGATGCAGTTTCCAGTAAATGTCAGGCATGCAGAATCCAGCAGTCTCTCTTCCAGCCCCCTCCCAAGTCTTCTCAGACAAACCGTGTGAACCCAACCTTGTTCTTCCGGGCTAAGCCAGCCTCCAGCGCCACCTGCTTCTCTCGCAGGCGCTTCTGTTTCGCCTCACGGTTCCTCTGGGAGATGGGGGATCCATAGGGCTGTGACTGGGTAGAAAGGGTACAGGACCTGGGGAGGCCCCGTGAGGGCCTCAGCCCCCATTGTAGAAAAGAGGCCAGAGGCAAATGAGGCATCAGGAGTACCTGCAAAGAGGCCGCGATCTGTTCCTGACAAAGCACAGGAGGGTATGGAGGAGCAGGGAGGGTCACACCCCTAAAGTCACACTCTATTCCTTATTCCCCGCCTCCTACTAGCATTGCTGTTATTCTGTCCCTTTCCACATAACCGTTACTCTCGGAGGACTACAGGGCATGTCGACAACAACAGGATCCTGGACCCACAATATCAGGTCTCTTCTGGGGAAGAGTCAGCGTTTCTGGCCCCCAACATATGCGTGGGACACGTGGGGTGACTGTTAACACATGGGAGGTTAAAAGACTCGGGGATTCGGGGAGATGACCAACATCTTCGTGCCCGAGAACCAGCAAGGTGTCCAGCCAGTTGCCGGGACCTCGGCCTGCCCAGACACACCGCCCACACAGCCTCCAGCTCCATGCGTCCTACCCACCAGAGGCTACCCCGGCGCGCTCACCGGGCGAGCCCGCTGCCCGCTGTGATCCCAGGGCGCCCTGCAGCACAGCAATGGCTGAGCTGGGGAGGAGCCACCAGCAACCCAACACCAACTCCAGAACGGACTGTAGAGCCCGGAACCCGACCGCAATCCGCGCGTTGCTGAGTGGCTGGGCGAGGGCGGGGGGAGGGGCTGTGGGAGGGGCGAGGAGGTAGGACTCCGCAGGCGCAGTAGTTGCTGGGCTCCACCCCCACCCCGCCCCCTCCCGCCCCTGCCCAATGACCACAGACACGGCGAGCCGAACCAAAGAGAGGGAGGTGCTGGAAGCCACGTGGCGCAGTTTCATGACTTTATTTAACAGTCTCCACTAATAAGTAAAAACCCCCGAGTTACAGGGCTGAGCCTGGCTCCTGTCCTAGTGCATACGCTCAGGAGCTGTGCTTCTGCCGCTTCCAGAAGCGCTTGACGTCGCCATGGCCAGCCGGTGTTACAACCATGAGCCGCTTGGCCGAGTTCTCGAACACCAGCACGCCCAGCTCCCGTGCGTGGGCCAGCAGCAGCTCAAAGTCCACTTGAGACAGGAACTGGTTATACAGGACGCCTGGGGACCGAGGATAGGCGGCGGGGAAGAAGAGGAGAGACCATGAGCCCCTCTGTGGCAGGCCACCCACTACCATTTAAACGTAATCTATGTCCTTTCACAGCTCATCCAACCATATTCAGAGAGGCAATATAATACAAGATAACCCAGTAGTGCTCACCAAAACCAGAGAGGTGCTGTGGATTATCCCTCCCAAATTTTCTCTCCTGACTAAATCCAAATTGTACTAATTTGAGATTTTATATACCACTACCAACTAACCCCAAAATAAAGTGTCTTGTAATCAAGACAAATACAAAACAACAATAGCTTTTTCAGGTCATGAAGGCTGAACTGTTCTTCCTCCGGCCTGTGACCAAGAATCAACCACCAGAAGTTACCCACCCTCGGTGAACCGGAGTCTGTCCCTTTCCAGCTCCCACAGCCGAATCTGGTCCGTGATGGTGGGCGGCAGCACAGGTATCTACAGGAGCAAGGGATGGCGGGAGGACTCAGGAATACTGCTGCTGTGGGGGGAACCCATTCCTCCACTGTTTCCCAGAGTCTCCACCACTTCATCACCGGGGCCAGGGGCTGTCAGCCTCCAGCAGCTTGGTGCCTGAATGTACCTGTTTAAGCATCACTGGGTGGGCCCTTGTCCTGAGGAAGTGGATGATCTAAAACACAGAAGAATGGGGTCAAGGGCTCAAATAAGGGCAGGAAAGCTACTTTGGCTGGAATGGAACATCAGCTTACTGTTTAAAAAAACTCACAGCCACATGCCTGTCATCAGCCCATGCCCCTGTTCAGCTGTTGTCCCAAGTTGCTGTTCCCACAGTCAAGTCTGCCATTCCTTCTCTGGCATGTCTGCCCTTTATACAGCCTTGTTTTGTTTTTCTTTAAAATAGCAGCACTGACTGTGTGGCAGGCTCTTACTTAGCTCAGTGTTTTACCACTGTTCTCTCACTAAAGCCTCTCCAAAACCTGGTGAGGTGAAAACTCATTATTTCCATCTTTCAGATGAAGAAACTGAGGATCAGAAACAAAGCAGCCAGCCTGGTCATGCAGCTAGGAAGTGGTGGTACCAAGACACAAATTCAGAGCTATCCCCCATCCCTCAGGTCTTTCTCTCCAATGTCTGCCTATTCCACACCTAGAGTCCGGACTTCTCATGTGCCTGATCTATGCTCAGACAGACAACTCATCGCCTCCATAACAGGCCTGGTGACCACCCTGTCCCCCACAGCACAAGTGCAGCCTGTCTTCCCACAAACCCCCAAGGGGGTCTACCTGCTGGGCTGTAATGCCACTGGCGATTGCCTGCTGGACACTCTCCCGGGTGACCTGTGCCACCACCATGTTGGGGAAGCGATAGAGCATCTCCGAGAAGAGGGCAATGAGGGCGATCTGCAGCTCCGACTCTGACGCAGGCACAGGAAGAGAGGATGATGAGGCTCCCCCATACCCAGACTTCCTCTAGCCCTGCCCTCACATGTGAAGGGAAATGTCAGAAAACCCTGTAAATTATCAGGTAAACCAAAAAAACAATGGCATTCCTTCCTGCTTCCTTTGCCTTTCTCACTCTCATCCCCAGCCTGCACTTCCAGGGGCCCTCTGTTGACTCACCAGTGTAGGCATACAGTCGATAATTGGTTTCTACAACAATGAAGCCTGGCTGATGTGCAGTGCCCCCAGCCCCAGAAACACCTGATGACAGGTTGATGGCCAGGCGTGTGGGGTAGTAACGCCGAGACTTCCTCTGGAAAGGACAGAAGAGAAAGGCAGAGGGCCCTCTCTCAGGTGTCACTGCCCTACATCTTCCTTCCTGAGACACAAGATCCCTCTCAGGGCACAGAGCCCCAACTCCCAACTTCTCTCCCCAAGGGACCCAAGTATTCAGTACTGCCAACTGCTTACTGCTGCCTCCCAAAATCCCACTCCTTTCTAAAAGCCAAAGCAGCATGCCATCCTGCCTCTTCCCTAGAAGCCATGTATTTGGGTCCTCATACCTTCCTCTGGAAAACAAGTCCAAACTCACGCAGATGTTGCAGGAAGTTCAACAGAGAATCGCTCATACCTTCCACAGAGTAATCCTGGGGAAGAAAAGTAGTCAGCTGGAGTCCAAAACACATCCCCTTCTACTGCCCCCAACTCGGTCCATCTGCTCCCTCTTTTCCTACCTCTGGCCATGCTCTGTCCATTCTCATCTTTCACTCTGTAGCCCCACAGCCTCACTTCCCCTCCCCACCTCTCCCCCTTCAGTTCACCCACCTAAGCCTCCAGCTCCAGCCCCTGCTCCCTTGCTTACCTTGCCCAGAGTAGAGAAGCTGAGCTGGAAGAGGAAGGAAAGGATCTCCACAAGGTCCATGCCTCGACTCTAAGGAGGGACGGGCAGAGACAAAGGGAAGGGCAGGAAGGAGAAAACGAGAGGACAAAACATCAGGGAGCAGAGTTTGTAGGTAGCAGTCTCTGAGGGGGCCTTGAGAAGAGCCAGGAGTGCAGGCGAGCAGAGCCTCACCTGGGCTGTCTGCAGGTACTGCAGCATAAAGTACCAGAGCTGGGCAGGGGTGTCCAGCAACAGGAACTGGAAGCCAGCAGAGGTGATACAGGGTGGTTCTCCAGGCTCAGCACTGGGAACAGAGAGAGGGACAAATGGGAGAGGTGTGCAGAGAAAGGCCACCACCCCCACTGGTCCTCTCATGTCTTCTGGTTTACCTCTGGCAACACTCCACTCGACTCTCCTTTTTCAGTCAATCACCTCCACTCCTGTCCCACCCAAACACTCAGTTTAACAGGGACCCAAGGATACATCGAACCAGGCCGCTGTCGCACCCTTGGCTTCCTCACCTCTTCATAAGCCCAGCCTGGATGAGGAGCTGAGCCAAGTCCTGGCTGACAGCTGCATCAGGGGAGCCCACCATGAAGTGCAGCACCACCTGAGGAACGCAAGAGGACACAGAGATGCCTCTAGGGTCGACAGGAAATAGGAGCACAAGCAGAGATACACACAGAGTCCCACGTCCTCACCTCCCATCGCTCCTCGGCGTACTTATCAAGTGAGGGGACATCCCGAGTATGCTTATCTGGTCCCAGCTGACTTGTGTCATCAGACCAGGCCTTGCCCCTATGCCAGGATGGACCAAGAGTGAGGAGCCCTGCCTGTGTTTCCTGCCTTCCCTCTGCCCTCTTTCCACCCTCATCCCCATGGGTCATGAGTGGGAGGTCTTTCCTATACTGTGCAGTTGTATCTGGTCGAACTTATTCCTAAAGGAGCTCCTGAAGGTAGAGCCCACAAGGTTCCAGACAGGGCCATCACAGCTCTCCATCCAGAAGTTTAGTTCCCCTGGCCCAGCTGAGGAAGAGGTGAAAGTGACATACCCACCCAAAAGGGCAATGCGGAGGTTCTGGCGGAAGATGGGGTTGAGGATGAGGCCCTGGAGACCACCAGGGAGCAGCTGGGTGTGCCAGATACGGAGGCTGCTCAGTAGCCCTGTACTATCCTCCTGAGCTCTGAAACAGAAACAGAGAGGTGAGGGGGTGTCTGGGAAACAAAAAGGAGGCCCATAAAGGGCCCCACTTCTGCCTTTTCTAAACTGGTGATTTTTGGATCACTGTTTCACAGAGTGAAACCAGTGTCTTCTTAAACTGCAACACTTACCAGAGCCTTTCTATACACATCACAACTCTCCAAGAGGGAAAATACAACATGCAGAGTTTCCCAACCTTGTTTAATGACAAGTTTTGTGGTGTACCCATTAATATTTCCTGAAAGTTCCAAGAGCAGCAGTTTGGGAAATCTATCTGTTCGGAAATTTGTATTTAGCTGAGAATGCAGCAGACTCACTTGCTGAATTCCTTCTTCACCCACAGGGCCACAGCAGCTTGTGGCAAAGGTTGCTCCAGAAAGAGCATCCGCATCACCCAGCTCTTAGCCAAAGACGGAAGCTCCCTGCAAGGGGCAGAAGTAAAATGTTAATATCAGCAACTGCTTAGATCTGCATCTCTGTCCTCAACCTGCATCTCAGCCTCTCAAACATGTTGTGTCCCTCACCCACCCACATGCCTTTACCAGTGTTGCTGTCCCCCAAAACACCATCTGTTTTGGCCTGACACCCTTTAATCTCCAACTCCCTTAAGACTAAGCTTCTACCCATGATAACTTATCCATCTGCAAGCCCCATTACATTGCCCCACCACAGCCCCTGTTGCATAGAGCATCCTCACCTGAAGACAGCCAGACAGGTGGCAGGGTGTCCATACAGTCGGTCCAATACCCCAGGGTTCAGACCCCCAAGGAACTCCTGCAGATTCCTGCATTGTAGATGTGCTCGGTTCAGTCCAACCTTTGAGGGGGTGCTCTCCATTACCTGAGAGATGCAAGTGTTAGAAACTCATCCCCACAATGCATGCCAGTGTCACCCCTCACCTTTCTCATTCTAGTCCAGATCCACTGGCTCCCACCAGGTGGACCCATCTTTTCTATGTTTCCCTTTCCATGTCATTCATCTCTTGTTTCTCCCAAGCCTGACTGACTTCCTCCTTTCCTGCCTCATCACCCCACTTTTGGCC